TAACCCTTGCCTATCTTGCAAACTACCCAGATTTTTCTCACCATTTGCCATTTCAAATTACAAAGGCCCACTAAAACAAAGGTTGGTGTTTTTATCACACCCGACCAGGGCCCACCACTACTCTCTCTTGAAGTGCCCTCACCTCTAATAAACTTTACCATCACTTTCACTACATTTTCACATTTTGCCTAAATTCTTCTCTCATAGGAGACAAGGGCCTAGGAGTCTTCTGACCAGTCTAGAGAGACCACACATCTGGTAATATCTGGACCTCCTGGAACTAATTCCTGTTCTTTTTTTCAAACACATGTATTAACTGAAGATTAAGGAATGGTGTTACAAAGGTCACCAGATATTATGGGTTCTGTAAATCTATAGAAAGATTTAGAAGTTGATGTCTAAGCATTTTATATTGGAATGCTCTTTAGAGGATCCAATGGAGAAGATAATAAACCATGCAAAGGTGTTAGAGAGGAAAGTCAGCTAGGGACAACTTCCCAAAGTTGCTGCCTGTTTCTGACATCAGTGCTTCAGTTGTATTTGAGTTCCTTGATTTCTTCTAAAGCTGAATATTTACATATTCAAAGTATGTGTCCAAGAATGTTCATGCAATGATTACTATAAGTATCCACACCAAGTCAACCTAATGTCTGTTAAGTAGCAGCTATGAGTGATGGATGAAGTAGAATAGGGAAAGGAGGAGGTAGGGAAATAATTTTAATAAATATTAAAAGGGAAAGACTTATTGAAACAAAAAAGTAAAAACTAAAAAGCAAGAGCAGCTTGCTACTCCCTCCTATCTCTTTATAGATGCTAAATTATAAGAATAGGGAAACATAAAGGGGCTGTTTGCATGTGTCTTCTTTGAGATGTTAACAAGCTGCAAGGCTCCTTGAATGGGTAGGAGAAAATGTGTGTCTGACAATGGAAAGTTCTAAAGCACACCTATTGCTCTGTGTTTTGCCTAGGCCTAGATAACATCTCCCTGTTTTAACACCTGTCTTAGCCACCCAGAACCATTATCTTTATTAGACATTGCTAGACATGATCATGTGTTTATCTCCAGTTTGGAAAGTATAAGACTAGAGATGAGGACCAAGTATTTACTCCCATTGCCTGCATGGGGTTCAGGAAACGTTTCTCCCTCTTTTCTTCATTTCTCCCTTTTTTTATCCTGTTATACTAAATTCCTTTCTAATAAACTTCGCTATCATTTTATACTATATTTCCATTTCTTGCCTGAATTCTCCTCACAGGATACAAGAACTGAGGTATACACTAGCACTAAACTTTCCAGTAAAAATGTCTATCAATAGTAAGATGGATAAATAAAATGTACACATAATTTAATAGAATCTTTATAGCTATGATAGTGAACAAAAAATATACCTATTTGTAACAACCTAGACAATGTCAAAAATATACTATTAAGCAAAAGAAGTAAAATACAGACAATTGCAAAAATATCAATTTAGGCAAAATTAATCTATGGTATTATACATCAGGAAAGTGGTTACCCTTAAATGGTGGTAAAGGCTGTGTATGAGTTATGGGTTGTAATGGTGTTAAGATTTCTTTTTTAATTTGGTTCCCTGTTACACAAGTGGGTTTGCTTTGTGAAGCATCATTGACTATAAATGACTTATGTTCTGTGGAGTTTTATTTAAGTCAAAAGAAAGGTGGGGCAAAAATTGTCTTAAATGTCACAGTGCCGACCATAGGACAACTGCATGTGAAAAGGAATTAGAAGTCTACTGTGAAGGAAAATGAAAAATAGCTCCAAGTTTTGGGGGGAAAACAGTAAGAAATTTAGAATGGAAATTAACTGGGAGTTAATAACAATAAATAAAATATTGGGCCCAGGAAAGGACTCTCATCAACTTGAAAGGAGGGGGAAAGTTAAGAGGCTTGCATTTCCATGTGGGCAGAGGAAAGGTAAGGTTAGGTCTAAGGATCTAACACATATCATCAGGCATAGGGGAGCACCATGCTGTGGGTAGTTTGGAGCAGGCTGCGACAGCCCTGTGATGTATAGGTGAGTACTGGCTTTTCTGGTCTCTTATCTATTGTGTACGTAGAATGATGGAGAAAGAACAGGAATGAAGAAAATACAGGCAAAATTGGGTTATCTATTTGCCTAGCCTATTTAACCATTTTCATTGTAGCATTCAAGGCCTGGGCCTTTATATAATTTTAGTAAAAGCTAGTCTCAAATCTCACCCAAGTTGAGAACTGCCTATATACTTTCTCTTTCAGAAGTTTGGGTACAGATTATGTTCAGTGCAATTTGAATTTGTCATGTAGTACACTTTGCCTGGGGAAAGATTTATTAGTAGATTTATTTACTGTAACACATGAGAAGCAGAGATTTTCGTATTTCCTATACTCCTGTTCCATTGGATGTTAGAAGCATGTTCAAAAATGGCAATTATTCACTTTATCCATTAGATTTAAAATCTCACTAACACAGAAAACATGCTTTTGGACTAATGCAGTTAGATATGCTGTTGCTACATACCTCTCTCCTATTCAGGAATTTTTGTAGTTTTTCTTTATTATAGTTCAACAGGTCATTTTACTAATCTATTTTTCCCACACAGTATTGAAGTACAACAATGGAAATTCACAGTCCTTCACACAATGCTTAGTTTCCTGTGTTCAAATATAATAGTGTAAAAATAAGTACCTATCATCTTTCAGTATCATTACTAGATGTTGCTAATACTTTAAGAATATAATTGCAAAGAAAAGACAAATTGAAATTTACTAGTTCTTCTTTGTAGTGTACTTTATCTTAAGATATATGCTGTTAAAGTATGTTTCATAACATAAGGGATGAAAAGGATTTAACTAAAATACCTAATCTCACAAAAGTAGTACTTCTGAATGTATTTTATTATCCAAAAAGATAAAAAGTTGGAAAATTTCTGTTTTGCAAAGCATTTTTCACACATTATATAATTTGTGCAAACTATATAATTGTTTCCTTTGAGAAGGAAGATGTAATACAGAGGCCATTTATTTTTTGCAATATGAATTGACTACTTTCTATATGTAAAGTTCTATGGTACTATAATCAAGACTTTGTTTTGAAGAGTTTCTTAGTAGTTTCATGTAAATAAATTTAATATAAGCATTTCTTATAATCATCCTGGCATTTCCACATATGATCATCCTAGAGTCCAGTGAAATTATTAAACTCATTTAAGGAGAACGAAACCCCATGACTCAAGAAGCTTAAGTAACTTGCCTGAGATGAGAGAGCAAGCAACTAGAAACTGAACTCAGAACAGTCATGTGTTTTCCTGAACCTTCTCCATCTAACTTTGTAATCTCTTGACTTGAGGAATGCATATTGTTGTCTCATTCAGTACCTACAATAGCCAGTGTATCATGCATATGTGAGCAGTGTTAATTACTATAGAACATTTGTTAAATATCTTGAGGAAACATCTAAATTAAATCAAAATATGTTTTCAAAGCATATTAATTTAAACCCCCTAAAATATACCTAAATTACAGTATAAAGAATATGAAAACAATTTTACTTACCAGTGTCTAATTGTCATATCTTAAAAATCATACGTAAATTGCACATTTTATCTTACATATGTGATTGGTACAATATCTTCCCTGTATACAAATCGTATGAAGTTTCAAGTTAAGTGATGGAAATTTGGATGAAGAACATTACAACATTAAAAGAAGAAAAAACATAGAGAGATAAGGTTAAGGTCAAATCAGGGAAAAGGTATACCTGCATCTGTGGCATGACCCAGGTCATTGCATTTATTTCTCACTAAACCTGAAATGCTTTTCTTCCAGGGCTTCTATTGAATCATACTCTTGGTTCCGCAATTCTTTGTTCAAATGTCACCCTTTCATTTAAGACCATCCCTGGGCCCTCTATTTAAAGATACAACCTCATCTCTCATAAATATCTATTTTTCTTATTTACTATACAATATTTATCACAGTCTAACATCCCATATGTTTATGTAATTATTGAATTTATTATATGTCTCATTTTATTATAATATATAACAGAATTTTATCTGTTTTGCTCATTTTTTCTATCCCTAATACCTAGTGAAGTGGCAAACACTGGACTAGTATTCTATATTTTTTATAACCTTGAGAAGTCTACAGGGAAGGAAAGAGGGAATGAGATAGAAAGAAGGAGCAAATTTTATGTAAGAGAACAAAATTTTGCACATAAATTCTGTAAAAGAGTATCACTGGTAGTAGCATCACCTGTTATTCCTCACTACTAGTTAACCTTCCTGGGTACTACTAGCAGAACTGGTAAGAAATCATGCAGAAGGAAAGAGAATAAAACAAACAAATAAAATTAAGGAAGGAACATTCATGAGATCCAGAAAGAGAAGTAATAAAAATGAGTAACCAGAGCTGGCCTTGCTCGTTCACATTATTTTACTTGACCCTCATAAAGAATCTTTGAACCAGAAAACTTTAGGCTAGCAAAGGGTACAGAAAACTTACAACAGAATGCTAGCCCAATACCTGACAAGCCTAAGAGTAGTGAATGACAGGTAAGGTAAGATGTAAATTTGGATTTTCTAATGGCCAATATTATGATTTTAAAAGTTTTTTTTTCTGCAGACAAAGTAAAGGATGAAGAAAAAAAGAGTACAAATAAAGTATGTATCATCTCAAAATAGTTAGCCTGGCAATTCTTGGCAATATCACAGTTTATCCAAGTAAAGATACTTTCATTTATATTTGAAGATTTATTTACACATCAAAATTTGGTTAACTAAATATGCACATGGTTATTTTGATTCACAGATAATAGTGTAGAAATTAATACTGCCTTATCACTTTTTAGATTTTTACTAAAAAATCAAGGAATTGTGCAGGGATACAATAAGTACATTTACTTCAGCTTCAGCTTGTTATATGCAATTCATTCTTTTGCTATATATAGAATAGGAATAAAGATACCTGAATTTATTAATAAAAATATTGAGAACACTCACCTAGAACTTTGCTGTAGTATGAATTCCATTCTCCCCAGTAGGATTGAAATATATAGTCTTGCAGAGGATAAGATATGGTATTTTTAACCCTTTCACCAAAGGTCATCTGGTCAGTGAGCTCTGACAAGGCTGCAGGCACATAGGAGACAGGTGCTGGGATTTTCCCACAGTGCCTTTCCACAGTTGAGGCTGGAGAGAACCTCAATGTGTACATAAATGGAATTCCTAATTTCAGAGCCACCAGGTCTCCACAGATTGTTACTGGGTCTGCTACCAACACATCAAAACCAGCTTTCTGAAGTTTTGCCATTAGCATGGGATTATTTAATACACCATCACAGATTTGTATGTTAATTCGAAAAAAAGTATCTAGGAGCTTTCCTAGCTCTTTGTAGAAAGTCCATAGAGTGAGAGGGGTTGGTCTGTGGTCTATCCACAGCATTATCATATGTTCAATTAAGGAGTCTATATTGCTCTTCTTGTAAAAAACAGGTATCTCCTCAAATTTCACAGAAGGATCAGAATTGGAGTTGATGAATAGAGTTGCTGATGAAGCCAGTACAGTCACACTGTGATTTCTTTGAATCAACTCTTCTAGAATGATCTTAATGTTTAACCAATGACTACCATCTGTAGGCCAAATTAGCACATTCCCACTTAGAACAATTTCACTCAAAGCCAAATGAAAAAGCAGCAGCTGGACACTCTTCTTAGGTATGACGATATTCAGGATGAAAACCATCCTACTGCAGATCTTTTAAGATGAAAAGAAATCTTTAATGTATTTAGGAAGCTTATTTTTTCAAATAAAATGATATTGAATGTGATAGCTACACTCATTCACACATCAATTGATATATATATTTAAAGGGAAACAATGTATCACAGATAAAAGTGAAATCTAGTTTTATTTTAAATAAAAAGAAGTAAGGAGGTTATAATTCTAGAATTCATATACCCTGTGACAATCATAATTTAAAAATGTATCTTCAATACAGTATATCTTTCCAAAAATCAGGTTGTCATAAAAGTAAAAGTTCTTTAGTGCAAAAGGCACTTTGCCAAAAAGTTGGTCATTCCTATTACAAGGCATTTTTACATGAATTATTTTATTCAGTAGTTTTCACAACCTGGTGGGGCAGAAGTTATTTCCTTCATTTCACGAATAACAAAAACAAGGTCCACAAAGGACAAAGTTATACAATTGGTATTATAATCATAAGATTATTTGATTTGTTGCTAGATCAACATTATTATTACTTCCATATAGGTCATATTGAGGAAAAAATAACAGCCTTTACTTAAAAGGAAGTATTCTTCAGTACTTCAAGATGTTTTAGACTGACTGGGTAATAAAGTGCATTATTATGTACTTGACAGAGGTTAGTTTTCTGCTGTAAGTCCAGTTATCATTGTCCCCCACCTTTCTTCTTATTCTTTACTTTCTCCCATATACAATCAAAAAGACAGTGACTGGCACTCTCAGAAAACTCAGGCTGTTCTACTCAGAACCTGTAGTAAATTAACTTTGGTGGACTCTAAATTCAGTAGCCTCAGTTTGAAAAACTGTCTCTTTATTGAGGGGCAGAGGGCATGGAAGTTAGGGATTGAACACAGAGCTTTGTGCATTTTGGAGAATTCTAACACTTCAGTGTCCAGTTCTATTTGCTTTAGTAATTTTGTCAGATAGAGTCTGGTATTTTTTGCCCTCCTACATATGCCTTAGCATTGCAGAATTACAGGCATGTACTACCATACTCAACTTTTTCTTTGAACAAGTGTCTCATTAACTTTTTGGCCAGGCTGTCCTTGAATGCCAACCCTATCTCCATTTTCCAAGTAGCTTGGGATAACAGGTGTGAGCTACTGTATGTGGCTTGGCAAACTATCCTTTTACAAGATTTGTGACTCTGGAGAATTACCTAGACCCTCTCTCCCTTGCTTTTCACAAGTGTATATGAGATATGATGATATTAATTTGTTAATATCACTTTATAAGTTGGCAATAATATCTGCAAAGTTTGAAAACTGTTTAGTTCAGAGAAAGAGTGTATACAGCAATTTAACGTACTTGCCTAAAGATTAGTCACTTTATAATTTTAATGACTAAATCAGTGATCTACTTACACACATATCTAGACACAGATACAGGTATATCAGTTGCAATTCTTGGTGAATCCCAAACTGACCAAAGGCAAACATCTACAAATATAAGGATGCTATTTTAAAATCATTAGAGGCTGCCATTAACATGAGAAATAAAAATAAATGAGGTGATTAAAAGGATTAAAAACTAGAAATTGAGAATAAAAATTATGTTGTGGACTATCTCTTCACACACTTGTAAAACTCTGCAGGTAAAAATGCATTATTCTTATGGACTTTAAACATTTTCACTGTTATAATATTATTATTCTCTCCTTAAATATGCACATAATTTTGATGGCTTTTTTGTTGGCATTATAAAAATAAAATGTACCTGTTTCAATTTCAAAGAAACATATTGAAATATGTAGAGCCTTTCTTACTCTCAGTTACAGACTGCTAACAGCTCTCTCAGAGACAGAAAGAATGTCCTCAGATGATATATCTCAAACAAGAGTCACATGGAGACATAAGCCTTAAGGAATAGTAAGTTACCTGGTAACAGTGTGGCCCAATTAAACTCCATGGAAATTAAGAATTGGCAAAAATAGAATAACATATTTCAAAAACTAAGTAGATTAAGATGAAAAAAGCATCCAAAAAGTTAAAATAAAAAATATTCTGAATAATTCATGAATTTCCATCTGAAATTTAAATTGAGAAGAAAAATATAGAACTACAAAGGCACAGAAACTTTGGTATCAAAAAGACTTTTAGTTTGAGTAGTGTTTTTTCAAACCAGTAGCATATAATTTTATTTTAACATGCCTGATATTTTGAGATATAAATATTTCCGTATGTGATAGTAGGTTTTCCTGCCAATATGCTCCAAAAATTCATTGTAAAGATTAGGAAAGGAACTATATCTATATGAGGCTCTTATCACCTGTCTAATACATGAGAAGAAATCAATAAATGCTGTTATTTCTTTTATTATATTCATGAGTTTGAGCTAAATACCTAACTTGAAATAAGTAATTTCAACATTATAATGTCCAATTCCTACCAGTTCGTAGAGATTAAGGACCCACTATGAGGTTCTTATTACATTCTACCATGGAGAAGTAATCTTAGGGAAAGTGGTCTATTTATTTACTCAGGTGTGACAATGTAAGACCTGAGTGGATATGGATTCATTACAAAGACTTTAATTAGAGCATTTAAGAAAAACCAGAAGATAAATTCAAATTATTTGGAAGGAATTTTTATAAGTCCATTCCAGTATTCATTCTCATTTACCATTCTACATCTATACAAAATGAATTACTCCATCACATTAGTAAGTTTCCTCCTTACCTGTTCTTTTGAATATGAGTGTTCATGTCCTTTGCATTTATAAGAATACCGTGTTTTAGTAAAAACAAACTTATATAGTCACTCTACATCAGAAAGTATAATTCAATTAGAAACATAATATTGTTTATCAAAACCACGTGTAAGAACATTTCTATAAGTCTTCATTTGTTCCCATGAACAATTAGTCTCATGTTTTAAGACTGGGAGAATAGAGCAATTTTATTACCTGTGCGATTTTATTACCAGTATTAACTTACAGGCTAAACACAATGGAGCAGGTGATTCTGAGATTCTAGTCTGGAGAAATTTAACTGAGGGACGACCTCACTAATATGTACAGGTAGCATTACAATCATAAGATTTACAATTTTAAAGTTGAGTATAACTAACAAGAGATGGCCCAAACAGTGGATACACATATGAATAAATGCATAAGCAGTTTAAAAAAAGTAATTTTGTAAAAAAAAAAAAAAAACAGAAGCGATTGGATAGAAATGTAATCATCCAATATGACTCAGGAATACTCCATGTACATTCTGTGCTATAAATGAACTTAAATGCTACACATATTTAGCTATTTCTATTAGTTTACTAAATACACGAGGATAAAAGGAGATTGGTCAACTTTACTATTTCATAGCTCCATAAAATTTCCACTGATTCTTCATTTTTAGTAAGATTCAGTTTTGGCTCTACAATGTGGCCCATCCACTTGTATCTTCATAGGTTTAAGTATTTTCATTGCACTTACGCCTGTTTTCTGTGAAGGATGGAAGGACTAGGTATTCCTTTACATCCAGGATACAAATATTTGTTTTTGAATTTGAGGACAACTGATTAACCCACCCAGAGATTATGATGACTTTTGCTGATGCAAGGGTACATTTTATTTACACTTGCCTCACATTTTGGTCATACTCACTAAAGTGTACTATCTCACACTTGCATCCACACACTCATTTGTGCATATTTATTTTGATTTAGATCAATTTTTTTTCATTTTTTAGAAAAGAGGTTTGTAGAAAAATGTCAGTGTGTCAACTATCACTGCACAAGCACCTCAGATTTTCTCTAGTATTCATGTTAATCACTCTTTCATACATTGCATTTTTTTTTTGGTGGTACTGGGGGTGGAACTCAAGGCCTTGTGCTGCTACACAGATGCTCTGCCACTCTTCTAGCCATGCACATGGCATTTTTTCATCTTTAAGTGATTTTAACACCACTTCGTTTTCACCCATTAGCTGGTAAACATAACTAGGACATACAATTTCTGCTTAGGAGACATTACAATCACTGAAGTATATATACAATATTGTTCAATGCTTTGAAATTTTTTTGTGTCCTATCTTTACTATTTTATTAAAATCAGTGAGATGACAAAATTGGTTTTGGATATTAATAATGAGAAGTTAAGGTCTCAAGTCAATAAATCTCAGAGAGATGAACTTATCAAATGCAGGAAACATTTCCTCTTTATCTGATTATCATCAAGATTAGTTCTGTGCTTGTGATGTTTATAGTGAAATATTAAATATATACCATCTAAGACTGTAGAAAGTATGAGCTATATTGTGAAATATTTTAAGTGCCTGCAAAGATAATCATGTTTAGAACATTCAAATCTGTTACTTCACTTTAAGTCATTAAATTGTTGACAAACTCAGGAATATGTTATTTATGAAATCAGAAAAATAGCAAGCTACTTACACATAGAAGGAAAGCAAGAAACAAAGACACAAAAGGTATCCTCTGAGAGACAAAATTGCGTCTACCACATCCTTACATAGATGATTCTTTGATCTCTTAGATAACAGTTAGATTTAACTGAAGACATTCCCTTCTTACTGGACTTCATCAACTGCTTACTTGACTTCAGCAAAGCTTCCCCAAAACACCAACACAACATGCAAAAAATAAAATGTGTGATTTCCACTCCAAAACTTTCTCTCTCTCATCTTTATTATGTAATTTAGTCATGCCACTTATTACTTACTGAAATTAGAAATCTTGATAGGATTTTAATATCTATTTAATCCCTCTAAATAGTCCTCATCTTTCGGAAATTGGCTTTAATTAATTAGACTTGCTAAATTACTAACACTCATGGATAAAAATTGAAAATCTATTTAAATGTTCACTAATCCAGTCATAAGACTGGATTACTTATGGGGGACTACTTTCCTGTTTGCTTTTTATATATCAAGAGCCCAATTTTTTGTTACTATGTAGTATCATTTCATATGATTTTGCTCAATTTTGAAACTACTTTTCTAGTACATGCCCTTAGCACATCTATCCTGGAGTGATACAGTAATCTATATTCAAGTCTCTATATTCTATCTGCACATTTGTCCAGGTGTTTTATATAAAATGTAAATCTAATCAGAGTACATCCCTTTAAATAGTTCCAAATTTCTTATTGATAAAACTGAAGTAATTAGCACAACATACAATAGACTTTGAAAATATTAAGTTAGTCCAGCATTTCTTGCAATCCTAACCTCACCAGGACTTTTTTCTCATGTCTTCCCACCTCACACTTAGACCTTCATTAGTAATCCCCGGGAAACCTTGCACTATATTAAGTTTGCAACTTTGAGTACAGTTTTCTTCCCAACCGTTACTTTGCAAGAGCACCAGTATTTACTGCTTATAAATCTCTTTATGCATTACATAACTTCTGGAGTTTTTCAAAATACCACTCTCTCCCTGTCACGTAAAGCCCATCTCTGTTATACCACCTCTGATTTTGAGTGCATGTTACCTACATAACTCACATTGTAAATATTCCTTTTCATATCTCACTTCTGTTTGACTCTGAAATACTTGAAACTAGGGACTTATTTCAATTTACTCTTTACAAGAACCTCCCTATCTAAGAGAGTGCTTGGTAAATAATAGGAAATACATAATTAGAGAAAAATAACTAACAAAATTCAGATACATGGGAAATGGACAAGGCCTATATGATTTTTTAGACACAAATATGACCAATATAGAGTTTTTGATGCTAAAAACTATTGGTTATATTTTTTCAGCCAAATAAACACTATATGACACTTCAGCAATTCAAATAAGGTTATCAGGGATAGATCATCTTGAAGAAAGACCATGTTTTCTCCTAATTCACACCTTCCAAATAAAGATGACAAAGTCTTCGAGTATTTTCTTCTACTTTTTAACTTTAATCTTTATCGAGCAATGAACAGATTGTACCCATATATGTGCATCCTTAAATATACAAAGACACAAAGGTCTACACTAACAATGGACTTGTAAAAAGTTTAAACTTCTCCTGCTTTCTCCACACAAAACTGCAGTTTCTAGGCAATTTCTAATTTTAAGTAACATCTAAACAAGGTCCAGTCCTATTTACACACTAATATTTTGTCAGTGAATTTTATCCATAAAATAATTTAGTTGATATCTTTCAATATATAAAATTAAAGAACAACACGCTGTTGTTTTTCAGTATGTTATCTTTTTCCTGCTATGAAATGACAGTAATATACTACAAGCATATGTATCATTATAAGACTAGATGCAGGAAATTAAAGAAGAGTGACTCAATGTTCTGTTTGTTCATATTAACATAATAAAACAAAAAATACTACATACCTAAAACTTTACTATAGTAGGAATCCCATTGTTTCCACAAAGTTTCAAACATGTAGTCCTGTAGATGGTAGGAGATGAAATTTCTTACTCTGTCAGCAAAAGACATCTGGTCTGTGAGTTCTGATAAAATTGCAGGAACATAGGAAGGAGGGTATGGTACCTTCCCACAGTGCTTTTCTACTGTTGAGGCAGGAGAAAACCTCAAGGAATAGATAAATGGAATTTCCAGTTTTAGAGCTACTATATCACCACAAGGAAATACAGGATCTGACAACAGGACTTCAAATTTGCCTTTCTTCAGCTTTTCCATCAGCTTTTCATTTTTAATAACACCATCACAGATCCCTCTGGATACCATGTGGAAGTCCTTAATGACTTTGGCCATCTTCTGATAAAATGTCCAAATTGTTGAAGGAGATGGTCTATTTTCCAGCCATGTCAAAACAAAATTCTTGATCACTTCTTCTATTCTTTCTTTGCCAAAGGGCACTGGATATATTTCAAATTTCAGAGATGGGTTAAATGTTGGTGTGATGAAAAGTGCACCAGAGGCAACTAGGACAGTCACATTATGCTCTTTTTCAATTAGCTCATCTATAATTATTTTAATATTTAGCCAATGACTACCTTCCATTGGCCAAATCAGAACATTCCCACAAAGACTGGTTCCTAGGAGACTCAGCTGAAGAGAGAACAGGAGAACGTTGTTTAACATGATGTGTTTGGTGCAGAAGATTTCAGGTGATGTGATATAAATGAGTTTCTCTGCTTTTAATGCATAAAGGAAAGACAAAAATCTTGGTTAGCTTTGATCTAAACCATTGATACCCTTAACAGTCTTGTCTCTATCAAATGATATCAGTCATAATAGTTCAAAATTTTATGGTGATTCTAGGTTTATTATGTCTCTTACATTTAAAACCATTGTTCTTGCTTGGGTTATGGTTCAACCTCTCTGAGCCTTCTCTTGAACTTAGTGCTTCAACCCTCTTTTTATATTCCATAACTATTAAATTTTTCCAATTAGGTTGAAGCCATTATACACCTCAACCCTACACTCCTGCTTAGAGTAACCTCACTGGAGAAGAATTTACTCAGACATGTAAGAATACTAATGCCAAAAGCTTATAAATATTTACAATTGTCACAAAATTTCATTAATAATAATAAAATGTTATTATAGTAGTATTAGCATAAATTTATTTCAAAAATATGTACAAAAATATAAAGATAATCTAGTAAGTATAATGTTTACAGCTACTTTAATAATACATTTAAGAAATTATTTTTGCTAACTAATCATCAAGAACAATATCATAAGAAAATGAATAAAATGTGTAATATAATACATGCAAAGGCTTATTAGTGAATATGCCCTATTTGAACAGAATTGCTGATTTAAGAACACTTTATCAAAAGTGCTGCTCAAAACCTAGATAGCCTAAGTGAATAACAAGTATCTTGCAACTAAACTAAGCCTTCAATAATTGCTATATAAGAGAATTTCTACAATGCTTTTCCTTATCTATTTTCTCATTTTGAAAATATTCAATTAAGTAGGTGCCATAATCATTCAAACATCAAAAAAAGAAAGAAGCTCTTTTCAAAGAGGTTTAGTAACTTGCTACATTCATAGGGAAACATAAGAAATGAAAGTGGTAACAGCACTGAGGATCCATGGCTTCCATAACCTATTGTACTAACCAAAAGGTTAGATTGCTCCCTCAGAGCATACCACATCCTTTATCAACTATAAGGGATCTGTATGAACTACAGAGTGCCAAAACACACTGACATAATGTAAACATTTGTAACACACATTTGATAATTGAGGACAAAGTCCTCCAAACAAAATCATGAAAACTGCAAGTGATAAAATAGAAATGATGTTTTAATAAAACTGCTGAAGTTACAAATTTTTTAGCCATCTCTTAAAATAGTCATTTCTGAACTCTTTTGTCACCAAAGATAATCAGCAGTGAAACATAGGTATATTTTGGTCAAAATAGTTAATTTTACAAAGTAATGCTTAAGTTTAACAGAGTAATCACACAATTCTGTAGATGAATTTCTGTAGATTTTATGGTGGGCACAGAATTTCTGCCTGCTAAGGTCAGCTTGGTCCATAGTTAACTAGCAGGAAACTTTAAGATAGTTTTCTCATCCAGTAGAATAGACTTGGTCATGATTACTATTATCACTTTCTTCATTTTATTTACTACAAGGGAATTAGATTCAGCTTTAGACAATTAAAATATAGTATTTTATGCAGTTGTTATGTGCTCATTAGGTCCTTACTATGTACAACATTCTCTACTAGGAGGAAAATGAATCCAGGAAATCTTTCCCACATTTACTTTACAGTCTATCAATGTAAGATGAAAAAAGTACAGATAGAACTGTAACAAAAATCAGCATAGTACCTTAGTCATGTTTTATGGAAATAATTTAGATTTTAGAATCCTTGCTTAGCATTATGCCTCTTAACATCATGAAATACAGTTTTCTCATCTGTAAATGGAAAATAAAAAATCCTAAGTGTTTGTCCTAATAGAAGGAACTACAATAAGAAATAAACTACCTAATATGTGTTAATATGTAAAAAGAATAATTGAAAAAACAAGTACTATAAATTGCTATTTAATAATATATAAAGTATATAAAATAAACATCTACTTAAATAAATAAAATTGTACTTATTAAACAATAAGTATTGTGTCTGGAATAAATGTAAAATTTTAAATTTATTATCTTTGTCCTGTAATCCTAGAATTATGCCATAAGTAGATTTTATTGTTGGTTTAAACTTCTCAAAAATGTGACCAGTATTAAGAAATTTCTCCAACTATGTGAGAGTAAATTTATAATGATTTGTGTTCTTAATTAAATAGAAAACCAAATGAAGAACTTATATTGACAAGAAATATTTAAAGAGGCTGTAAAATAACTTTTGCCATAAGTGAGGGTCTGAACCTCACTGATTTTTAATTATTCTGACCTTTAGGCCACTGAAAAACTAATCTGCTCTTTCCAGAAAATGTTTGACTGAGACTATAATTAAAAATATATATGGCTACACTGACACATGCTTCTAACCCCAGCACTCGAGAGACTAAGGCAGCAAGATGGCCAATTCAAGTCCGGCCCTCTCTTCCTAGTGAGATGCCTCAAAAAAACCCAAACAAAACAAAGGAAGATTACAAACCAAACAAAATAAGATTATTATGTTTATGAAATCTGGTGAGTTAGTAGAGAGAACTAATATATTTGAAAAAAATCTAGATTATTCAAAATTTTTATCATAGACAATGAAAATAAAAGATATTCTTTGCCTAATTGTTCACAAAGGAAGCAAGCGTGGTGTTTACATTAATAAAGTTGGTTGTTACATGTTTTAATTCACCTGCCTCAGTATCTATAAAATTATTCTGAAGTATAAAATCTGGGTAGAAAAAACTCTCAGATTATTTCAGAATATGACTAAAACTTTTTTAAAAGAGAAGCAGTAGAACAGTTAAAAGTTGAACCCCAACTTTGTTATGACTGGTATTTCTTTTAAAAGAAAATATGCAGTAAGTCCAAATGTATATTACATAATGATTATCATGGAGTTTTGAAATTTCTTACCTGAAGTTTATAGCTGGAACTTTGTAGCACTCATTTGCCATTAGGAAGAAGTTGAACTTAAATAAATCCTAACTAGGGAAAGGTGATATGATGAGAAATATGATCTTAAATGTAGAAAAGATTAAGGAGATTTGTTTACACTTAGCAATCTCCACCCACTGCATTGTGAAGCCGATTAAGCTTTTATTAAAGGTATATCATTCCACTGGTTCCCTGGCAACTTTGAATCTTGCCTTCACTATCTATCTTTTATGTACTTGAAATAATGACTGACTGATTAATAATCTCGGGATTATTATTAAGAAGTATGTGATACTAATATCCCTCAAACTCATACAACATAAACTTATCATTTTTACTGTTAATTATAGAAATTATTTCAATTAAATATCTTTATTCAATTGCTTATTTTGCTGAACCTTATAGTGATTACAATGAGTGACTTTATTGATCTTTGCCATTTATGAAAAAGGGAGTTATTAAAGTCACTAAATCAACATTTAAAGTTGAGAGTGAACATTGATGTTACGCTTCTTTGTGCAAATGTCTTGATTTAGAAATAACTGAATTTGGTATATTTTTTGTCAAGGTGTACCAACTATATCAGATTTAGTAATAACTATGTACTGGGTAGACTATCACCACTCTTTTTAATCAATAAACAAATGTGGCAATAAATTTCATACTGACTGTAATTAAAAAATAGTCCCCAGAGGTAACACTTTGTGTGACAAAATTGGAGAATAAAAAAGTAAAGTAGTGGAGGCACCCCACAGCTTAAGTTTAAGTCTGCTTGGATTGCACACACTTGTTTATAATTATTCTTTGTCAATAAATGAAATACAGATTGTATCTATATAGGAGAATTAGCATATGTTTTACAGAATGGCTTCATTATCTTTGAATTACTATTACAATTTACTTATCAGCAAACTGAAACAAGTCTTTCAGAAATTATTTTACCATGAGACCTGAGATAAAAACTTTTCTGAGTTTTTGTATATCTAGTAATATATCTTATGCCTTCATGCCAGAAAGACATTATGGGTGATAATCAATTTCTCTTATCCCTACATTTTACATGAAAAATCTATTGTATCATGTTCATTTGACTTTTTACAATCCCTGTCAAAAAAATAACACTGAAGTCAAAACTTGTTTATGGCAAAATGCCAATGTCTGTGTATATGTATGTACATTTGATTTATATTATTTCTATAAATCATTTTATTGTAATGTGCATAGCTATGAATTCATTCAATACATATGTAGATCTTTAACCCAACAAGCTTTCTTTGATAACTGTGATTAAAAATAGCTTGGATGTCTGTTATAAACTTCAACTCAAATACATTAACTATAATGCAGAAGAGATTACTTACTTCCCACAAGTAGTTAAATGCCAATCTCAAGTCATAACAAAAGTTAAAACATCAATTTTGAAATATTGGGCAGAGTGCTGCCAAATATGACAAAAGAGATAATCAAAGTAAGAAGAATAATGCAATTTGCACAGTAGATCCAAAGACCCTGTATGATTCTAATAATTTTCATGATAGAAAAGAGCACTGTTCCTCCTAGTTACCCTTCCTTACACACTCAGCAAAGTCACCTAGTTAACTCAGCATATTAAGAAAATTGTTTAATTGGTGAAGATTTTGTGAAAATGATCCATTTTCCCCTATGCAATAGCTTCACAATACTCATTGCTCAGCACGCATACAGACTGGATAACGTGTATTAAAATATCTCCAATATCAAGGTCTATAAATAAGCTGATCTGCAATACAATAATATTTTATATCAAGTGCTATATTATCTATCAGTGTTTAATAAGCACCTGAAAATTTCATATTAATTTTTTCTTTTCATTTTTATTATTTTCCTCATGTGTATCAAGTATTTGTCATTATAAAAAAAATCCAAAAATTATGCAGATTCAAACAACAAGCATTTCACTTATTAGCAAATTTGTGGTTGAGAGTGTGTGTTGGGTTCAGTTGGGCAGTTCTACCAATCTCTCAGCTGTACTCATGAGGCTTAAAATCATATTGGCTACTCTACATGATCATTTTATGTGTCGGTTTGACTGGGTGACAAAGCCCAGATAATTGGTCAAACATCTTAGATATTTATGTCAAGTTTTTTCAGTAAGATTATTACTTTAGCAAATTATTTCCATAATGTAGAAGGGTCTCATCCAGTTAGTCGAAGCCTTTAATAGAAAAAATTGATCTCATCTAAGAAGGAATTTGGTCACCAGAGTGCTTTTGGGCCCAAGTTGCAACACTTCCTAGGTTGCCAGCCTTCTGGTCCACCCTGCAGTTTTCTATTTACCAAACTTTCACAATTTCAAGACTCAAGTCATTAAAATAATCCACCCCCATCCCTTCTTAGTGTCCATCTCTGTCTCTCTCTGGTTCTCCATCCACCCATGTATCTCTATCGTGATCTATCTCTCTCTCATATTGCAGTTATCATGCAATGCATTCTTAAGGAGCTCGTAATATTTAATAGCCTCATGAATAACTCTCTTTTCCTGTAACTAATTTTATGTTATTTTTCTCAGTATGAATTTTGATTTCATTGCATTTTCAGGTTTTTTATGTGATTCAACATTTATGGGGCACTTATATTGTGCCACATGCAATTCTAAGGACTCTGTTCATTAATCCAATTCTTACCACAACTTTTTGAAATAGATAATATTATTTCCAGTTTTAATGTGAAATCTAGGCATTAAAAGCTTGCTCAGTGTCATTCTGAGACTTAATGACACATCAGAAATTTTAAAAATAATTTTCTTATATTTTTGAATTACCACACATTAATAATATGAGGGGAGTTCATTGTGATAATTCCATACATGCGTGCAGTGTACTTCAATCAAGTTGATTCCTCCTTTATATTTCTTTCTTTCTTTTTTTCTTTTTTTGCAATACTGGGGCTTGAACTCAGGGCCTACACCTCAAGACACTCCACCAGTCCCATTTTTGTGATGGGTTTATTCAAGATAGGGTCTCCCAAACTATTTGCTTCAAACCATGATCCTCCTGATCTATTAGGATTATAGGCATGAGTCACTGGCACCTGGCTCTTCCTTTATATTTCTATTCCTCCCTCTCCCTTTTTCAAACAGTGGTGGTTCCATTACACTGTCCTTGCACATATGTAGTATATTTTGATCTTCACCCTTCAGTATTTCTTCTTTCCCCCTTCCCTCCTCCTATGATCCTCCCCCAAACCATTCCCCTTTCACACTCATGTCCCATTATTATTATTATCATCATTGCCATCATCATCACTTTATGTCTAGGTTCCACAAATGAGCAAATACATGTGATATTTGGCTTTTTGAGCTTGGCTTATCTCACTCAACAGGCTGATCTCTAGTTCTTTCGATTTTCCTACAAATGATGTATTTCATTTTCTTTTATGTATGAATAATATTCCATGGTGTGTATATGTGTGTGTGCGTCTATATTTTATCTATTCATCAGCTCCTTGGTTGAGTCCACAGTTTAGCTATTATAAACATAGCTGCAATAAACATGGGTATGTAGGTGTGTCTCCTATATATTGATTAATGCTACATTAGATACATGCCTAAGAGTGTTATGGAAAGGTCATATAAGGTAGGTCTACTTTTAGTATTTTTAGGAACTGCCTACTGATTTCTATAGTGGTTGTACTAGTTCATATTCCTGCCAACATTGTATTCAGGGTTCCTTTCCTCTTACATCCTCACCAGCATTTGTTGTTGCTTATTTTCTTGATAATTGCCAGTCTGAATGGAGATGAAATCTTAGTGTAAGATGGCTAAAGATGAGGAAATACATATCCTCATGTACTTATTAGCCATTGGCATTATTTCTTCCAAGAATTAATAATGCTATTCATTTCCCCATTTATTAATTGATTATTTGTTCTTTTTCTAGTCAGTTTTTTGAGCTCTTTGCATATTTTGTATAGTAATCTTTTGGTGGTACCTGGATTTGAATCAGGGCCTTGCACTCGCTAGACAGCTGCTCTACTATTTGAACAATACCTCCAGTCTTTTTTCCTATGATTAATTTTGAGATAAATTTGCAGTTTTTGCCTGGGCTGGTCTGGACCACAATCCTCCTATTTATGTTTTTTCACAGTACCAAGGATGACAGGCTTGAACCATATGTCTCTGCAACTTTTTCTGGTGAGAGGAGGTGTCAGGAACTTTTTGCCAGAGCTGGCCTGGACCCAAGATCCTACCTGTCTGAACCTTCTAAGCAGGTAGGATTACAGACATGAGCCACTGCAGTCTGGTTATGGGTTGGCTATTGATTCTGGTAATTGTTTCTTGTGATGTGCAACACATTTTTAATTTGATATAGTCACATTTGTCAATTCTTGCTCTTATTTCATTTGCAATTAGAATCGTTCAGAAAATAATTACCTATGTCTACATCTCCCAGAGTTTTACTTATTTTTTCCTATAGTAATTTCAAAGTTTTAGGTTTTACGTTAAGACATTTTGATCCATTTGAAGTTGATTTTATACAGGGTGAGAGATAGGGGTGCAGTTTAAGTGTTCTATATATAGATAACCAGTTTTCTCAGCACCATTTGTTAGATGAGGCTGTCTTTTCTCCAATGTATATTTCTAGTTCCTTTGTCAAAGATCAGATGGTTAAAGCCATTTGCGTTTTATTTCTGGGTCTCTATTCTATTCCACAGGTCTTTGTGTCTGTTTTTGTGCCAGTATCATATTGTTTTTGTTACTATGACTTTGCACTATAATTTCAAGTTATTCTTTTTGCTCAGGATTGCTTTTGCTCCCTGGGGCCATATGAATGTTAAGATTGGCTTTTCTATTTCTTTAAGGAGTGACTTTAGAATTTTGATGGGCACTGCATTGAATTTATATATTGCTTTCACTAGTACAGCCATTTTCCAATATTAATTTTGCCAAAACATTAACACAGATCTTTCCATCTTTTGGTATACTCTTGAATTTCTATCTTCAATGTTTTATAGTTTTCATTACAAAGACTTTCAGCTCTTTTGTTACATTTATATCTAGTC